ATATCTCAGCAATGCAACAACTTTAGGATCTGCGGTGTTTTCACTGGAATTCATGAAACTGTTTGCTCTAAACTATTACTACTTACTATGGAAGAAATCTGAGATGGTCGATTGAGCAGCATTATACGGTAATAGGTCGATCTTGTAAGGATCTTGTCAGCTTCTTGTCTGCTTTTGCCAAGAATCTTCTCCGAACTGTTATAAGTGGTGCATATTATTTTGAGTGTGGAAATGGTGTGTATCACGACTGAACATAATTCAGTGCACTGAAGTTTTAAACTTCTGATTTATGATAGTGGATTCTAGACATAAGACTGCTAAAATTCTTCGGCTTAACGAAAATCTACGACGAAAAAGTTATTTCTGCGAAATCTTACTGAAACGAAATGAATAGAGAATAATTCTTGTAAAAATCTAATAAAGGATTCTTATGAAAGTCTTATAAGATTCTTACTCAATTGTTATCTGATTCGTACGAAATTCGTGCAACTTTCATGCCATTTCTTATATAAGAATCAGATAAGGTGAGAGTCTTACCGGAAATTTTCAAAAAGATTTGTCTAGGGTAGTTGGTGGAAGAGTTGGTCTATTTTAAAAACATACGAGAGGTTTGATCAAAAAGGGTACCGACTGAATAATGAAAATGTCGGAAGCATTTTTTCTCTCAGGCTTGATAAGACAGTCTCATACTGCTTGCACATATTCGTCAGTATTAATCGCTGCAAATATCCTGTATTACTAGATGAGATTTGACTACTGTTTGTCTAAGTACCATCTATCGTGTGTCATGGCTGATGAAAATGAAATAAAATATTTCCTTTTTTATCAAAAGTCTCATGACTAGATTTTTCTGTAGAAATAGTGAAGTCTGAAACGGATTATTGAGTCTTGACAAAGAAAATTGGAAAATACTTTTCGTGATAAGTTTCTTCTGTCGTCAGTGAATTGTTTTTAGAGTGTCGAGTGTTCTTTGAGTCTTGAAATAAATGTAATATATGCAAAGGAATCAGTACTTACAAGATATTTAATGGTCAAATGTACTTCTCCAAACGTAGATAAATGCAAAGGTCCTGATAGTTGAACCCATTGATCAAATTCTGCTCCACCGATTATTTGCTTTAAATCAATTGTAGCTGAACCAATCGAATCTTTACCCACAATATCTTTACTATACACATGAACGTGAAGTAAATGATGCTTTTCAAGATCTGGTAAATTTCTAAACAAAGAAGAACACTAAAATTATTGTCATAAAGACGTATAGACTTACAGAATAAGTGTTTCATTCCATGTGGGATATTCGATAGTATTCACTACCTTTGTTCGCTGTTTACAATGTTTATCAACGTAAACTTCCACAAAAGTATCGTTGTTTGTGTTCTGAATGTTTCGATTATGTAAGCCGCGTGCTTCACCAACTAATACTTCAACTTGGCGATTTGTCATCCTTGAGCGCAAATATTTGTATACTGATGTAGAAAGTAAAGGAAACGAACAAACACATTTGAGTAGAAGAAAAATCAAGCGTGACCGATCGACCTTGATGGTAATAATCACATTATTTTTAACGAAAAGACATAAAAGTCCAGCTTTATTTATTTCTATTTACATCATTTCGATCGAATGTGTTCATCTCTTCTGGATAATCATTTAATGTTGTCATATCAATCAAAAAGCGTTTAGGTTAATTAAATTGAAAAAGAAATTTCTAAAAGACTTTTTGGAAGATCTTTTCGGATTTTCAGATATAGCGCGTTCAAGGTCAACACGAATCGAAAAATATTTTGGAAATTTGACTGTCACATTGTAATCGTAAGTTTTCTCATAGAAAATACCCCAATCTGTATGACATCTACATGAGAGAATGGATGCGGAACAATCTCATTTTAACCATTGTTTCAATCATAAACAAACCACATGACATAGTCAACTATTATATGCATTTCAGCATTCTATAATTCATGGGTTTTGAACAACTTGTCACAGCAAAGTGACAGAGCTCTGCGGTTTTCGCCATTCGAAAGAGAAGGCTTACGGACATATTTTTACAAGGGAAAACAATTTAAAAATAGCCCAGAATCTCCTCTTCAAACTAAGAGTAAAGCGAAACCTTGGTTTTCAGCGGTTCGACTGTGGTATCAGATATCCGTGAAGCCCTAGAACTGATACTACGTGTCATCAAATAATCTTGAAATTAAAAGAAGCATACGTAACCGGCCACGCAGAATCTAGTAGTCAGGCTTTGTTTTTGGAACTTTTTCGCCAAATATCAAAACATTCACAAGTCACTCAGAAAACATTTGAACGAGTTAAACACTTCATGATCTGCTTACTTTTGTCTGTTAAACGAGTACAATGAAAAAAACTGAAAACTACCTTTTTAATCAAAATTTTGTAGAAACTCTTTCGGAAAGCCGTAGGGGATTGTAATTTCCTTATTAGAATCTTTCGAACAATATAAATTGATCCTTGGTTATAAAGTAACGTACGGTTTAATGCCATCACACCTAGCTGTCAACTTTCCACTTCCAAATAAAACAACAAAACTTCTCAACGATCACAGCCATTTAACATGTTATTTCCAAAGTATATTGCTCCGACTCCAATATTTACGAGTAAAAGCGGGTAGACGCAGACCGCTCAGTTGAATCTAAACTAAACTTAGAGCCCTGCAGGTTACAACTTTTTGACAACCTATAATCTAACCTATAAAAATTTTCACAACCTAAACCTAACCTAACCTATTAATGTTTTCGTAACCTAACCTAGGTTAACCTAATACAACCTTTAGTAATTTCTTCCCAAAATCTGCTTTCAGAAGTCTAAGCTTCGGCTTTGTTATATATCGTTATTATTTTTTATCTAAACACCGTCTGAAAGGCAAGCTTGTACAAAATAAATCACATTTTACATGAATATAAAAATGAATCGGTTGAGTCGCGTATTCTTTAATACAATCTTTGGAAAATAGCTTTCTGAATAGGGAGACTCTCTTAACAGTAGCACATAATTTCACTTTAGACTCTCGATGCTACGAAGGCTCTGTTATTGTTGTGTATTTGCCATTTATGTTTAGTAAAAGGAAACTTTTTCTCTGTACTTTCTCTTCTGATTGTGCTATGACTGATTATGCCATTCATTAGACTGCTTCAACATAATACTTATTAGCTATTTACGTGGAGCTAGAAAAGACATTGAAGCATTAGCAGAATCTTGTGAAATTGAAGAAGCACTTGTTCAACTGTTCAAGAATATCGTTGAGTGATTATGTTCATGTTTTGTTCTGACTAGGAATCGCTTCCCATTGATAAAAGGAAATTTGCTATTTCATTTTCTGATTTGATGGTATACTCTATTATCAACGATAAAACGTATTTTCGATCTTCATTTTAGGGCTTTTCATTTAGAGCTCTTCTTATAAATTCTATAACTTTGCAAAGAAAGGCCGTGTAGAGCTGGGGGATGTATCATTTTAATCAGAAATTGGCGCGCTACAATCCTGCATTATTAAGAAAGGCTTGGGTTATTTTTTGGGATTTTTGAAAAACTGGTTTTCCAGAATACTGGATCTTCGAAGAGCTATGGGCCAGTCCCATGATCATATTCGGAATCAGCATGGTCGATAACCTATAACTTACTACATGTCGATCAAAAAGCTTTTAATCACCTCGAAAGGTTCCCTCGTGAGTGCAAAAAATTTTTAAAAATATCTCAATGATTCTCTTTTAACAGAGAATAAAGTGAAAAATCGTAAATAACGGTAAAAAGGTGATGTCATTTTTGTTTTTCGTTTGCTTCCATCAGAATCAGAAATCGAATGAGTTGAAGTGCTTGAATGATGTGTGCTCGAAGACATAAAATATTTGTTCGACTGAAGTAGGTTTCACGGCGAAAAGTATCAACATTTTTTCTTATACAACACAAATGGATATTTTCTAACGCATGCCTTATTTCTCGAAAAGTTTTTTGTTTTTGTTAGTGTATATTAGAATGTTAGAAATCAGCCATGTGTGAAATTGAAAACGCACAGTTGATTTCAACTAATACTTTTTCAAGTCATGTCTGTAGATAAACATCTACTCGTAACCTTTCTGCGGTATTGACATAATTCTCGGCACACAGAGATTTATAAAAAAAGCGAAGAACATCATTCAAGAGAAAAGTTCCTCTTCTTCCATACTGTCATACAGAAACAACTTACAAAACAAGAACCTCTCTAAGGTGTTCTTCTGCATATAAAAGAGTTATTGGTGATCAAATCTTATGAGTTTTTTTTAATTGTACAACACAAGCGGTATCGATTATTGTAAATGGCAAGTTCAACGCTTAAAATAACTGAGCAACCACGAGCTGAATGGTATTGGAAATCGAATCCCAAACCATGGTTGAGAAGAGAAAAGGAAGAATGGACAAAATATTCTGATATCGAATCAGAAATAATTGAAGAAGCATTTAATGGAACAACCCAACTGATTGAATTGGATAATTATTTGATTGACTTAAATGATCCAGGTAGACCCATGCAAATCAGTAAATTCGATCAAGATAAACAAAGACCAATAAAACGAGTTTTGTTCAATAGTAATGAAAATCATAGTCTAAGACAAGAAAGATTCTTCCATGAACCGTCATTGAGCAAAACATTCAATAACGATCGCGGTAGAGACGCTGCCATATTTCTAACAGAATGGAAAAACGGCGAAAAACCTTCTCTTCCTGAGATAGTCGACAAAGCAGCCAAGGGAATCATTACCGAAGGAAATCATCTAGGCAAACGTACTGAATCTGAATGGATAGCGCAACGACTGAGAGGAGTGCAAAACAACGACTCAAAAGAAATCTTTAAGTGTTGCATTGATCTATATACTATGCAATCTTTTCTCCACCAGTTAATAAATAAAACAATGAGGGAAAACGATACGACCAAAGCCGACACCCTCGGTCCCTTTTGCTATATTTTATTTGTAAGCTGGAGACTCAATAGAAAGCAGTACCGCCAGAAACTGTACCGAGGAGCGCAGCTCGAGCGAAATATGATACAATCCTACGAAAGCGCAATTTGTCAAATTAGAAGCTGGGATGCGTTTACATCTACAAGTAAGATAAAACAAGCAGCTGAAGCATTCGGGAATACTTTATTCGTTATTGATGCGACAAAATGCAGTGGCATAGACATATCATCTTGGTCATATTATCAACACGAGGAGGAAGTTCTACTGCCTCCCATGACCCAATTCCTAATAACCAGCGTCCACCGTGACCAAACAACCGGAAATACAGAAATTCAACTCAAAATAATGGATCGAAAACGTCCCCATGCCCACCAGCCGACCTACGCTAGCCCAGAGATAAGGAGATACACTATTCTTCGGCATTGTTCACTTTCAGCGTGATCAATGATGCAATTATTGTCCACCACTTCGTCATCACATGAAGCATGGTGTGATCAAAATGGCATCTAGCGCTGTGTAACACATAGGAGATAAGGAGATATTGTATTAATCTTAATGCTGCTCTTTACGAGATCTAGCGTCATGGTTGCGGGAGGGTCAAGTTTCATGTGGGTTGTATTTACTTTCATTTTGTTCACATGATTTCACGGTGGATCTGGTATAGTTGAAGTTATAACCTAAGATGTTTTGGTTTTTGATGTAATTGTTTTTGTTTTGCGGGTGAGTATTTCGTTTGAAAGAAGAACAATAATGTAACGAAAGAAATACAAGGCATATGTTACATGGTGGCGAAAGAGAAAAAATAACTCCTTTGCTTTTATGGGCCCGCCGGTTTCTCCGATCGTGGTCAATCGAGTCGCAGGCTTTTTAACATTATCTAATGACATGGTTGGAAGGCATCTCAAAGAAACTTTAACTTCACTAGGTTTTCTAGAAAAGCGGGTTTTTCAAATGTCTCTGTCTTAAGACTGCGACATGTAGGATAACTTTTCTCCGTCGAAATATAAAGAACTCGATGCGCCCTTTCATTTGACATCAACATCAAGGTTCCATGTTTGGGAATGCAGTCAACAGACGTTGTACAAATTAGGAGATGAAAATGCACTTTTGTGCTGAAATTCAGAGTATTACTATGAAATTCACAGTATTGCTTATGAAATTTACCCTGATACTGCGAAACTATGAAGTTATGAAAGTCATGCTATGATAGTGCGATACTATGAATTTCATGGTAATACTACTTGTGCAATCATGTTGAAAGCCAGTGCCTTCCTCTCTTTGGTTTTTCTACATATAACTTTTCGCGGAAAGAGATCACTTTTTCATGCACTCATTGTGGGATTATTACAGACATATTCGTGTTCTAATTTTTTCCTGTCTCAAATAAAAATATGACGTGCATTTTCTGTTCCTGTTTAGAACAGATCCATACACTTTACTTTTTAAGTAAAGTCAGAAA